TCAATTGCTTATATATGTTGATACATTTATGTATGTAATATTAACAATATTATTGAAAACTGAGGCAGCAACGCTGCCGAAGCAGGAGCTCAATTGTTTATATATGTTGATACATTAATAAATATAACATTAACAATATTGTTAAAAACCGAGGCAGCAGAGCTGCCGAGGCAGAAGCTCAATTGCTTATATATGTTGATACATTTATGTATGTAATATTAACAATATTATTGAAAACTGAGGCAGCAACGCTGCCGAAGCAGGAGCTAAATTGTTTATATATGTTGATACATTAATAAATATAACATTAACAATATTATTATAAACCGAGGCAGCAACGCTGTCGAGGCAGTGGCCCAAGTATTACATAGCAATAGAAAAAGGTTTGTCTAAAATACGAATGTAGAGTATTAGTAGCCGAGGCAGGAGCTGAATTGTTTATATATTAAGATATATTAATATATAATATTAAAAACCGAGGCAGCAAAGCTGCCGAGGCAGAAGCTTAATTGTTTATATATGTTGATACATTAATATATGTAATATTAATAACATTATTAAAAACCGAGGCAGCAAAGCTGCCGAGGCAGGAGCTCTATTGTTTATACAGGGTGGTTCAGTTTTTAATAGCTGTCAAGACATTGACTCAAGCATTATAAATTATTAATGTATTAGTAGTAGCCGAGGCAGGTATCCTGCCGAGGAAATGGCTCAAGTATTACAAAGCAATATGAAAAGATTTATCTTCAGTACTAATTTATTATTAATAGCCGAGGCAGTGGCCCAAGTATTACATAGCAATATGAAAAGGTTTATCTAAAGTACTAATGAAGTATTAGTAGCCAAGGCAAGAATTGAATTGTTTATATACTATATTGATATATTAATATTAATAATATTATTAAAAACTGAGGCAACAATGCTGCCGAGGCAGGAGCTGAATTGTTTATGTATGTTTACATATTAATATATATATATAATAGTAACAATATTATTAAAAACCGAGGCAGGAGCTGGATTGTTTATACAGGATGTTCATATGTATGAACGCTATATTTGATTTTCACACCAAAAAATAAGATAATTAATTCTGATTTCAATGATATGTCACACAATGTAAAAACATTGAATTATTCAAAAAGAAAAAAAGAATAAACCTGATGATAGTTTCACGAAAACGAAATGTCGGAAGAAAATTGTAGTTGTGTCATGACATTTTTCATAAAAAATTGCCTTAAGAATGTTTTTTCGAAAAACGAAAAAGTAATCTTTTTGTTTTTCGGCCATATTTTAAAAACTAAAATGGCTAGATCCAAAAGCTTAGTTGAAAAATGATGAGCTCTAAGATACGCATAGTGGTTCAGCCACAAGCAACGTCAACTTATATTGTTGTAAGTTACAAAGGATTTTCGTCCAAGTCGCTTGCGGCTGAGGCATTGCGAGGCGTTGAAGTAGAAAAATGTTTTAATAAATTTCCCAATATATGGCAAACTACAATAAATAGGTATAGAAATGTTTATAAATAATTTGTAGAGAATTAAATTCCTTTTCTGATAGGTTAAAAAAATATGGGGCGTTTCATTTAAAATTTTCGACTTTCTCGCCATTGAATATGGGTAATTTAATTTTAGACCATCCTGTATAAGATACTCTGATACAATAAATGACAATCTATTTGACAGCATCTAAAGAATAATCGTGCCAATTTAGAGCTTTTTTTGAATGAACGTTGACTGGGATATGAGGTTTTAAAGAGCATGGTGAAATTTGCAAAAAAAGCTTAAAACTAAAATCAATTATCTAAACGGTCTAAGAAAAATTATAACATTCCATTTAAAATAACGAAGTTATGGTCTACTTCCGGTAAACCAAAATTTCAAATCTCTACGAATAGTGGAACCTGAAATAGTTTTAATGAACCAGTTACGTAAGACACCCTGTATATATTAATATATCAACATACTATTATATAAACAATTCAACTCCTGCCTCGGCTGCTAATACTACATTAGTACTGAAGACAAACCTTTTTTTAAGAAAGAAAGTTGAAGAAAGTTTTTATTTTTAGAATATTGTTAATATCATATACAGTATGGTTCAGTTTTTAATCGGAAAACTTTACTAGGATGTAGTACTTGCCCAAATAACACAAGTTTTTTATATAAACATAGGGTCGTAACTCTTTTGTTTTCGAACTATGAGCTGTCAAAGTTGAGCCAAAAATTTACATTTTATCTTTTACTTCGGGTATGACTAAACCACAGAATTTGAAATTTTGTATGTATGTACTACTGGTTAATATCTTATTTTCAACCATACCTTAAACTTCCCCAACGCCCTCTAAGGGGATGAAATTCACAACCTCTTTGATTTTTTTATAACGAAATGTAAATTTTTAGCTCAACTTTGATCGCTCATAGCTCGAAAACAAAAGAGTTGCGACCATATGTTTATACAGGGTTTATACAAAGCTGCCGAAGCAGAAGCTTAATTGTTTATACAGGTGGTTCAGTTTTTAATCGGGAAACTTTACTAGGATATAGTACTTGCCAAAATAACACAAATTTTCTATACAAAAGAAAATTTAATTTATTTAAATTTAATTTAACTTAAATTTTTTTGTATAGAAAATTTGTGTTATTTTGGCAAGTACTATATCCTAGTAAAGTTTCCCGATTATAAACTGAACCACCTGTATAAACAATAGAGATTCTGCCTCGTCAGCTTCGCTGCCTCGGTTTTTAATAATGTTATTAATATTACATATATTAATGTATCAACATACAGGTGCCCATTATGTATGGAATATAGTATATATCTTGGTAGGTATCAACTTTATAAAAAAACATTTTATACAAAAGTTGTTTAATATTTTATTTGCCATAATAAGACAGCATTCAACTGTTTTTATTTCAGAAAACAAATGAGCAACGAATAACACTTGAAGTTTTTTAAATGGCAATGTACCCTTTCGTTAGGCTCATTTGATAGAGAGT